GGGGTGGGGGGGGGTGGAAATTAGAAAAATTCTGCAATTCAATTATCAAATATTTTTCACATCCCCAAGAACTATTACTTTAACTAAAACAGAACACTGACATTTAGCGGTTTTTTTTGTTTTTTTTTTTTCTGTAGAATGACTTGATTAAAACTGGTTTAGCCCCTAATTTATTTAAAGCTATGAAGAAAGTAGCAGTGCTCCATTCTGAAGACTCCTTGGTTTGGAAACTTTTTAGATTTTTTTTTTTTCCTTTGAAGAAATAGTTTTTGTGAATGTAACAGGAACATAGTCTTGTTAAACATGTTAACCTCAGCAGAAATGCCAGCTTTTCCACAATAATATTTTAGTATAATGTTCTAAAAATAATTAACAGAGATGACAACAATACTTTAAGACTGTAAAAGCATAGTTTAATGATAACTTAATCAATTCCATTTTTGATACTTTTCTAAATCCATATTTAAACTACTCATCAATATTAGAATTAAACAAACAAAAGTTACAATCCAAACAGTAGATAGGACCAATTTAAACTGAACTTTAGTTATCAACCCAGAACATTACTAGAAGTTATAAACTACAGAAACTTGTTTATTATTGCTGTATTACAGGTAGTTTCAACAGAAAGAGCTTTTGATATATAAAATTGCTAAAAGTTCTCTAAGATGAGATCATCAAATTTATTAAGCTTTTACCTATGCACATCCACACCAAGGCTGCAGTAACTACATCATCTGTATCTGCAATACAGTATCAAACTACACAGCCATGTGATCAACTAAAACCCATGCATTCTAGAATGAAACTGGATGTTCTAGTTTATCTGATTAAAATCAAGTTGGGAATATTATGAACAGTATTCAGTTTACCTATAATGTACATGTACACACTTACATAGATGACAGCTCCACTGAGAGGTACAAAATGACCATGCAAGGCCCTCAAAATTAACATTTCAATACTTCCTTAAATTATTCGTGACTCAAAAACTCTAAGGTGGCCTTACAAGACCTATGCTTTCCCATCATGTCTTAGCTACATTTTTAAACACTGTTAAAATGAGAGCTACATATTACTGTTCTGCTTTCTGTATCTCTATTTGGTTTTTCTGCATAACAGCTTATAAGGTTTTCTATACAGGACTGCACATGTGTATCAAGACACCTGGCATTATATTTTGGATCCTTAAAATAGTGATTTAAACTGTGTATTTTTTACTTAAATATAAAACATAAGAAACTTTTATACCAGGTGAATTAAAACTACTTCAACACTATAAAGCCACAAATCTATTTTACTGTAATTTTTACTGAAAAAACTTTTACAACCATACAACTCACATTTTAGAACTATGTTAAACAGACAAAAACATTTTAAAAAGAGTGCCATGTGTTCTGCTAGTTTCTGCTCAGATGCACTACTGGAATGCAGTTTACTCATTGACTTTATATTCTGAAATCCATTTTTCAAAATAGCTAATATTAAGAATTGCCAATTTAATATGAAAAGTGTGAACAGCTTTTCAGGGATGATGAATGGACTTCTGATACTTAAGATCAGAAGTAGCAGGAACCAAAAATGTTAGTGGACTAGAGAATTCTACTTAATGCAAAAAAAACAGTCCTTAATCAAACACATAAAAATACAAGACAGCAATAACTTCAGTAACTTTTCTGCCTGTCTACAGGTTTTTATCCAGTGTTACCTATTAAAGAATGTTAGAACTAATGTTTTGCCATATAAATATAACATTAAATAGGCAACGGTTGCTAGGAATACTGTAACAGCTAGCTCAGTAGAAAACAAAAGACACTGGCAGGGTCTCTCAATTCTAGGGTGTGGAAGCCAGATAATTAATTTAGTTTGCTAATATGTCAATGTGACAAGCAGTGCACAAAGACGGAGATGATTATTTGCCATTAACTACTGAATGTCCACAGGGCACAGTCCTAATCTGCTGTGCTCTCTCCTAGCACAAGGCCTTACAACTATCCATGGAAAACTGCAGAAGACCAGAGAGAACATCACCCTTCTCCAACCCTGAAATCAGAGAAGGATCAGGATCTTAACAGCTGCAGTTAACTAAATGACTTCTGTATAAAAGCACAGGCATCTTTATGTTACAGAAATTTTAAGTGGCAGGAGAATAACACTGTGTAGTGTAAGACATTAAAAAATGTCGTGAATGCTAAAATGTCAAGATAATGCAATTGGAGGGACTACTTGAGGAAATTACTTAGCTCTTTCTCAGCACGTATCATTTGTGTAACAGAATTAAAAAGTCAGTTACTGTGCCAAAGGAAGGATTCAACTACTGAAAGCTTAAAGGTTCAGTTAGTACTGACTGATGTTATGCCATCGTTCTTGGCAAGCATTTTGAAGATGAGCTACAGTAGCAATGGAGAGCTCTCAGTATTTCAACAGTGACCTGTGGTTCCTGGAGGAAAGCCAATATCCAGAGCTTTGGTCTGGGTCTCTTCTAGGTCTCTCAAATCAAAATGAAACGTTGTTAAGACCTGGTGACACAATCCTAACCAAGCGCCTCCAGACTGACGTTACAGGCCCCACAGTAGAACACTGCAGGTGTACTTCTGTGTCCAACATTGAATGTCATTCCAAATGTTCGAGTTCACATGCAAGTAAAAACAAAGTAAATCATCTTCAAAGCAAGGGCCATGAGATCAACTCATTATCAACAATCTAACATCTGCACCAATTAACAGAAAATAAACTACATTTTGTGAGTATCTGGACTAGAGCCACTATCTGATGACGTGAATGACTCTACACAGTATTTGTACACTGTCAAGCAATTAGTTCTAAAGACTTCCCTGTAAGCATGTTTTTAAGATAGTACTCACTGTAAAATTTACTTCTTGGATCTCTAAAGCATTTTAAAAACACAATAGTCATTTTTGGTAAACAAATTGTGAATTCCAAAAATAAAGACTTGGGACCAAACCTTATGAAGCCTGGGTCAAATGCGTCTTTGTTCCAAGATACAAGAAATATAGCTCTAACAGAACATACCACCTTTCTTTGGCACCTCCAGAGACAGCACTTCATTAAAAAAAAATATTTACTATGTAAAAATTCTTCCATGGCAATCAATTACTGTTACTACATGCCAAAATTTCTGTAACAAATTTATACTGATGAATTCTAAAATCTGAAAATCAGAGAAACAGACAGATGTTTTTAGTGGTAGACTGGCTCAGATACATGACGATCTACAGCAAATGAACGCTTTCCCCCTCAAAAATAGGCTAAGATCCTCATGTATCCAACAAATTGTCTATCTTTTTTGATACTTATTGGCAAAACAATTCCCCACAGCTGCTATGGTAACAAGTTTTTAAAAGCAGAAACTATTACATTATATTTGTGTACATTCTTCTACCTAGCAAGAAGGAGAAAGTCATATGAGGAAACCTGCATCCAAAACATAATACATGGCATCTCCTTTCACAATTTCAAAACAGTGTAAGAACAGAACCAGACTCCACCTCTCTTCCTGCACAACATGAAAGAATGGAATTGACAGCCAGAATAATCTTCAAATATATTTACATATTACATATGGATTATTTACTGACTACAATGCCCACTCCATAATCCCTAAATGATTAAAAAAGACACCACTGAAACCACAAAAAGGAAAACCTCAAATTACTAAGAGTAGATTAAAAAAAAAAGGAAAAGCTCAAGGATATTTTACATAAAGACCTCTGTGCTACATAAGCAATGAGCTTATTAATAAAATTAATAAATTAATTAATTAAAATTAAAATTAATAAAGTTAAAAAGGTTGCACTCCTATTAACTACAGAGGCTGTATTTTAACCTTTGAGGAACCTTTTATAAAACATAGAAGGAGTCCTAGGGTGGTGAGAGAAGCAAGGAGAGAAAAAAAAAAAGTTATCTCCCTGCAGTTGAGGAGAAAGTAGTATTTCATCTCAATTGGTGATACTGTCAGGGAGTTCCTAAATTTTGCACAGATAACAGAGAAAGTCAAAGAAGGAAGGAGCTTGCAATGGCCTTGTAATGATAAAAGGTCAATTCTTGCCTTTTTCTATAGGTAAAAACACACTGTAAACCCAAATTTATTGCTTACTATATGCAAGAAAAATGTAAGCCATAAATAATTATGAAGCTAGTGGTCCAAATTTTATTTTAAAAAGTTATTATCCTCAAGCACTAAAATGACACATAAGTAAAATGCCTTATAAAAGTAGAGAGTACTGATTGCAAAAAAACTAAAAGTAAACTCTTTTGGAATTGAAACAAAATGCACATAGATTTAAATAACCAGATTTTAACCCACAGCACTTAAATGCTGTCAGCATGTGGGAAAATGGATTTTACTCTGCAACTAATTGATCTTTTAAGTTTATGTAATCCAGAAATTATAAATTTTTCCTTTAATAAAAGTATGCTGGTTTTCAATTTATGTTAGTAACCAGAGTTTATACAGTAGGCTGTGTATGAGAAATCATCATTTTATCCTGTAACAGTCTTTTTAATAAGAAAGGAAATGCAGGTATAAAATCATGGTTTCATGTGTTTTTACCTGTCCAAACTACATTTCATTTTATTACTTTACAAAAAGGAGTGGTATTTTAACTTAACCATTTTCAGGCAAATGTTAGAAGTCAGGAAGAACATATCCTTCATGTGACAGGTAGGTTAGCAGAGTAAATAGCTAAAGATCTGTTTACAGAACATGTAGAAGAAGGTGGTATCAGAATTTTATCTTCCATTCTGTAATCTTTTCTAAGATGAAAATGGAGACTTCATATATATTGAGGTTTCTGATTCACAGACGAATGACGTGAAAAATTTCTTCTTACAGAATGCGACCTCAATTCCTAAAGGGAGGAAAAAATGCTGTGTTGTTTCTTCTATTTCAAAGTGTGTCCTATTTACTACATTAATAATGCTTCAATGAAAAGTTACAGTTCATTTTGATATTGCACCAGCTAGACAGTTTAAAAAGGAAAAGCAGATTTCAATTATGTATACAGCTGAAGTCAATAATGGCAAGAAATACCTTCCTCTATTTACAAGTATGGAATCTTAGAACGAGTTCAGAATAAATTTACTTGGGGGAAAAAAAAAAATAAAATCAAGTTTTGTTCGTTGATTATATAGTATTAGTAAAGGATGTCAAAGTTAAGGCAATTGTATCCCCTTCCTAACTGGATAGGGAAAATTTATCTTTATAGTATGTTACAGTGCAGAACTATTTAACCTTTGTTTACTTTTGCATTCGCTATGATGTAGCCTAGAGCAATGCATTAGTATGGGAATTTATAATAACGCTTACATAATTTTTTTAGTAGCTAGAACTCAAAAACTGACAGCCACCTATTAGTAAACTCACAAATAGACAATGGACTGTGATTCAGCAATTTGTCAGTGGATGCCACTAGCTGCCGACAAAAGGATGGCAAGATACAGAAGACAGGGCTACCATTTCAGGTGCTGGCAACAACAGTTTTTAGAATATATGTCCTATTCTGTTTATTCTTCCTACGATGAAATTCTATTACCTTTGTATCTCAGTTGCTCTGTATCCCATTTGCAGGACTCCCATCTGTTTTATTCTTTTAATTTAAGTAATCTGAGTCCTTTCTTCCCATTCCTACTATGCCACACTATAGACTCGGCTATCTTTGTTTTCTAACCTTATCTCCTTAGCCCAGGCCTTTTCAGCACTTCTTTTTGTTTGTTTTGTTGAACTTACTCATCTTTTCACCCTCCCTCCTGGCTCTGCCAAGTTTCCTAATAGAAGTTGTAGTTTCTACATCCCTATCAGGATATTCAACCCACTTCAACCTCAAGATTTCAGGTTTTTTTCCACCTCAACTACAAGCTGCACATCATGTTGGATATTGCTTTCCTGATTCGCTAGGTTCCATGACCATCTAGTACCAGTCTTCCTGCCCACTTTAGCTTTCATTACATCAACCTTACAGGACTTCAGTCCCAATCTATTTCTCTTACTCTTTTTTTAGTTTTGGTTCCTATTAGAATATGGAGGACAAAACCAACATTTTCTCTTCTCTACTGCCTGGTCCCAATGAACTACACTCAGTTGCATGCTAGCAAACTTCTAGTACTTTTTAAAAGCCACGTCTGAGGATAAATCACACAGACACATACACTGACAAGAAGTCACACCTTAACAAATAGCAAGCCCCTGCTACAAATCACTGGGCTTTTTAAAGGTATCAAGTAAGAAATGGACACAAATTTTAACATGTGCAAAACATGTATTTTTCCCTAGCTTCCTTTTACTAAAATCCTAATTTTTTAAGAACTGTAAGCACCTAAAAGCAGCACCTTATTCATAATGAAAGCATGGTTAAGCACCTGCCAGAGAATAGATTCATTAATATAAACCACTGTAAATCACACAAAATAGAGAGAAAAGGGAGAGAGTTGAGCTGTCAATAAAGGAATTAAAACAGTTTTCAAAAACAGAAATCATACACTGAAGTATGGAAAACTTCCCTCCCTGGTGAAGGGAAATAATCCAAACAAACAGAAATTAGGCAGTTGAATTAGGAAGAAAATAATGGTGGAATGAATATATATGAATTACATAAAGTTTATTTTATGTAAGAGAATTATTAGGATATTTTAAAAAATGCAGGAAGCCACTACATAATATTGCAGGCTATGCTAAATCCTATCTGAGCATGTTTCATTATTTATGAATTTGTAAACAGAAAGCATTGCAATGAAACAACTGACCCCAAGTTGCACAACAGGCAGCTGCTAGATCTCTACCACATGGGAAGGACTGGACAAGAAAAATCAGTACAGGTAGACTAGAGCTGCTCAAATGGCTTAATATTGAATGCTCCATAGTGTCTGTTAAGGAAAGAGAGAAACATATGGATAAAAAACCCCAAAAAATCCCACTAAACTGGAATGAGAACAAACTATTAGAGAGGAGAATGTAAGGAAAACAGAATGAAACAATGCGAGAAAAATCATGCCATCTGCAGCTTTTGATGTTGTTATAAAATTAACAAATATGTTTCTGGTGGAGTTCAAAATGCCCCTTTTACAGGCAACAGACCTTGCTACAGCTAGTGACAAGCCTCTTGTTAATCAGATGATGACAACCAGAAGTTTAAATTCATGTTTCCTAGACTAAGGTAACTTTAAACAAAAGGTTTACTCTCTCTCAATTTCAAAACACGTATAAATGAAAAAAATACTTACCTGTAGAGAAAATACATTGTAGATTTTTTTAATTCCCGATGGAATATCATACAATAGCACAGAGTACTAATATAAAATTATTACACCTCTCCCAACATTACGTCATGACTTCCTCTTACAAAAACCATAATTTATGTATATATACATGCATGTGTATGTATACAAACACGTATAAGCATATATATATTTACGTATATTATACACACAGAACAATTTTACCTTATTACTCATAATTGTAGAGAAAAATGGGTGCTCTAGGTTCAGTTAAATTTACAGAACATTCACTACCAAAAGGCCAAGGTGTTAGCATCATGCACCATTACGATCTGAATGCATATATAAATGAACCATATTGCATATGAAAACCCTAAATTCTGTTCCGATACTGCAAGATGCCTTTTCAGTTAGAGGCAACATTATTACTGCCAACATACTGTAGACTGGAAATGCTCAAGCAAAAAAAAGTCTCTGATCCATCTAAACAGCATTTTCTTATAGCAAGTAGAACATTTAATTTTAAAGCTATCAAAAAAGACTGTGGGGAATAGAAAACAAAGTAGTGACAAATACCAACCAACGAAATCTGAAAATTGGGATATATTTTTGTCATTGATAGGTTCTCGTTAGAGAACTCATTTCATTGGTTTTTCAGAAAAATTAAAAATACTTACTACCTTTGTACTCTTCTGTGCCTTTTCAGAACATTTTCTAAATAAAAGAGTAAGCTTAAAAGAAGTACTTTAGCTCAGCACACCAATCCAGTGTATAGCACTTATAGGTTCCAGGAACTGAATTAAGGAAGACTGTCGTATTTTGTCAGCTAAAACTAGTCTATTGTGGGGACAGGAGTGAAAAGTTCAGATAACATAAGACTGATTTTTTTTTTTTTTTTCTTCCTCCTGCAGCTAAATGTCCAAGCTTGAACAGAAGAGAACACTTCCTCTCCTCCCCCAAGGACCTAAAAGGTCTCCTATAAGAAAAGACACTGTATGATCCCATAGTGTTCACCATGCCTACCCTGACAGGTATACTACTACTGGAAAAGATAACTGAGAAGAATAAAAAAACCAAACCAATACCACCCATCTATCCACCTCCACATGACAGAACCTTTTACGCCTTTGTTCAGTTTATGTAGACTACAATTCTGTTGCTCAGCTCCCTAGGCCTCACGGGTCTTACACACACAGACACACACAGACACACACAGACACACACAGACACACACAGACACACACAGACACACACAGACACACACAGACACACACAGACACACACAGACACACACAGACACACACAGACACACACAAAATATCCAACATTTACCAGGCCAGTGCTCCAGAACTCAAGATAACCATCCAGTAAAACAGAAATTTAACTCACAGCTATTTCTCCCTGGTCTGAAATCAGAGAACATGAATTTCAATCTTCTCTCAAGTTTCTGCTGTTACTGTAGACTACACAGATCTTACTACCAGCCACAGTCTGATACATGTCCTCCAGGAGCATCCAAACATTAATCTCCTTATTAGAGAATGATTTACGATCTGAAAGACTGCACATGATCCACTAGAGATGAAAAAAATTTGACACTTCCTAAAAAACCTTTGAGAGTGAAAATGTCAACCTTATCCATTCATAGAAATGTAAAGATGAAATCACTTCCATGTACTCATGAACAAAGCATGCCATAATCCCCAAATGAAAACACCTTATATACAAAGGATAATTAGCAAACACATGATCAAAGGGAGGGCATTAGTTTTTGATTCAAGCCTGATCTTAAATACCAAAATTGGATCTAAAAAATAGTTTAAGTTGGGGAATGTTTTATTCTAATTTTCACTGAAGATTATCAGAAATTTTGCACTAAAAGTTACATCAACAAAATGCTAAGTGGTAGCATTGAGAGAATAAAATTAGAGAATTGCCAGAACTGAAGCTTCCTTTGTTAACTGCTACATGGTTACATGATTAATGAACTGAGTTATCTTTTTATACATCCACAACAGCAACAGAAACACTGGCTTAGAAATTTTAAATTTTTTTCTTCAAAAAAGATTTCATCCATTTTGCTTGCTCACCCTTATGACTCTTAAAATATGACTGCAATGCATTCTGTTTTGAACTGCATTTGAAAGCTTTAAGAAGTCTACAACTGCCAAAATTACCTGGATACTGGCTGTACCCATCCTACACTCACCATATGACTTATAGCTCCTAGTACAAAGCATGTATTTATTCCTAATGCAACTCCTCATGCAGTGGAGGCGATTAGCAGATTATCTTCAATGTAAGGGCATTACTCTAGGCGTCTGTTCTCTCTTACATAGCCGCTACTTGGCCATTTTCAAGCAACAGATAACATTTGTTGGGCTATTTTAACAAGACTGCAGGCAGTATTTTAATGCAGCTGGGGAGCAGGTGGTAATGACACAACCACTTGCTTAACACATAGCAGTGTGCTGTCAACATTTGCTCTTTTCTTTTTTTTCCCCAATCATTGTTGAGTGCTCAGCCAGAGTGCTGGATACAACACAAGCTGATCATATTCATCACATGTGGAACATACTCAGAACTTTAAGTGGGTATGTGAAAAGGCAAGGTGAAACGTGAAAGGAAGAATTATATTCCAGAACTACTAAACAAAGCTAACTAAATAAATAAAATTTAAAACCTGTCAAACTATTTGGCATCATCTGGTAATGAATAAAGTCATCAGAATTCAGCAAGTCTTTGTAACAGTTCAACTGTATCTGTGAATCTACTTGAGACCTGAACAGAGCAGTTTCAATTATGGCTAACAAGACTTCTAAGAAAATGGGTAAGAATGAACAAGAAATATAGTGAAGGAAGGGACAGGATTAGCAATTTCACGTCCAGTTTCATCAAGTTTAAATCTGCGCCACTAACACAAGTCTTTCTTTTTCTATCCTATCCCAAGCTTCTTGTACAGGTACAAGAGTTTGTGCAGTTTCACGACAAACCCATCTGAGAAACTGATGCAAGCTTTAAGCTAACTCTTTTTGGGTGGTGGGAGTGGGGCTTCATCTTTAACTACATCAGTTGCCTGACCTGGTTTACCGTATTGCCTCGCAAAAACCACTACCAGCACAGGAAATGGGTGTGGAAAATGGAATCAATTTCTGGGTTATGCCAGCTTTGACTGTCTGTGAAATCACTTCCAAAGGTATGAATAAACACAGAAAATATTAAATCAGGAAACAAGCAGTCTGAATTTGCATCTCATTTCCTATGCCACAGTAACAAAACATGGTTCTACCATGCATGCACATACTCTACTGTAAATTAACACATTATTGCTTATCACAAACTACTTTGTCTTTGCTATAAGGTAAAGCATGATATTGTGTCAATTACTGTAGAAGAGGAAGAGCTATTGTGCTCCCCATCTACCTTGTAACTTACTTCACACTACTGTGTTCATATAGCCTTGGCCCTAGGAAAGATAATAAAAGTCAAGTTTCAAGATTAAAAAGCTTGTTCCTCTATTTGATACAGTTAAGTATGCACTGGTGTTTGATTCTGAGACTATTATTGCCATTTAAAAAAAAAAGTGTTTTCATACACTTCGAAAACGGAATATAAAGTGGATATTGTGATCACTGTGTTAAGCCAACTCCCTTTTATGTATTTCTTGAATCACACTGGATTAGCATTCTCAAAATCATACTCGGCTCGTATTTAGTTTGAAGGAACCCTTGCATTTTATTCCAAGACAACACTTAATGTTACAGCCCCCTCTACTGGAAATATTTAGTAGATAACGTTACACAATGGTCTGGAAAAAAAGATTCTCTTAAAACAAATGTAAAGTAAATGAAATAATACCTATAGAAGACAGTCTGTAATATGACTTCGATCCATTCATATTTAATCTGTCATTTGTAGTTGAGTAAGCATCTTTAACAGAGGATTAAGTGCTGTAATATCAAGTAAGAACACTGATAACTTTAGTCCTTCACTAGGCAAACCAAGGCCAAGTCTAATTTAGGCATTATTTCATATGTTATGTTAACAACCTTACTAATTTATGCAAAAGGGCCTTAAACTGGGACCTAAAAACCCCAACAACTTGTGCTGGGTGACACGAAAGAATAATATTTTAGAATGGCCACTCAAAAATCAGAAAAAAAACTCCACAGGTGGCCAATTGGGACAGCTTTTCATGCTCTGTGTTCCCAAAGCCCACCTCTCCATAACATGAGGTGCTTGTCTAAGACCACAAGTAATGAATTCAACTTCCCAAGATCCAAATACAGAGACAAGAATTTGTAAGCATCGTTTTCAAAGAACTGAACAAGGTTCACTGTTTTCTCAAGATACATTTTTCACTCGCAGTTTTCTTTGTATCTCAAGTTTTAAAATAACTAGTCATGTTGGGTTTTTCTTAGTTTCCCTAAATAGTTCCAATACTTATGTAGTCTGTAACAAAGCCTCAAATGAAGAAAAATCTGTTTCTCCGCAACATTTCTGTTTTTCTTATCAATTCATTAATAAAAGTTTTTTTCATCCCTGTCCCTGTTCTCTTACCATCCCTTCTCATGAAAGGGGACAGTAATACTACCATGCTTGCCTTGACTGTCTTCGTTTGATACTCACAGGTGCAGTCATTGCTATGGCACTCTGAGCATAAGGCTGGTGATGCGGTGCTTGAAGTCCATGATCAGAATACAACTGGTATAAAAAAAATTTACAAAAAGTGAGCAAAAAGCTTGTTTCACAGTTTTGTTTTTGCAAACCCTTTACATGAATTTAGATTCCTTAAAACTTCAAGTGGTGGGCTATGTTTATCTAAACTACTGACTTTTTAAAAACAAAATATCAGTATTTAAATCTGTTTTCCCTACTGTACCAAAGTTTGGTAAATTCACTTTATCTAGATCAGTGTCCAAAACCACCTTCCTTGACAGAAGTAGCACGCTTCTCTACTACAAATCCATTTCACTCAGCTCTAATTGGAACGGTGTTTAGATGTGTAGATTAGCATATTGAAACATAATTCCCAGCATTATCACACTTACAAGATATTTATATACAAATAATACACAGGCTTTTCTTCAAATTTTAAACCATCTTCTGAATTTCCACATACTGCTTCCTTCAACATCAACAAATTATGTACCTGTGAACTGAGAGCACGCCACATCCAAATATTCCTTAACTGATTTTTTAGTGCTCACAGATTTTAAATTTGTCTATATAAGTTGATATCTGACTTATGAAATACAAAAGGTAAAAAAACCAACACTGCTAGTAACATTTATGATTATACCAAAAAAAAAAAAAAAGAAGAAAAACCCCAACAACCAAAGTCTTACATTATTCAATACCTTTGTAGAGAAATTAAATTACTTGGGTACATCAGGATTTCCCACTTAAGATATCTGAAATACTCGTTATGGAATTTCTCTTGTAGCAATAAAACTCTTCAACTTTTGTAAAACTACTTGATTACTGCCCTACTTTACCATTTACTTTGGTATCCCAGTTAATGAGGCATGAATTATCAAAGAGGAAGAGTACCAATTATTCATAATACATTTTCAAATTTTATAGTAAGTTTTTCTGTAGGCAATTATTTACTGTGACTTTTAGTATCCAGTTATAAAGAAATGGCCTTGTTGTACATTAATGTTTCTTAAGAAACTTTAGAAATGCTATTTGATATAGAAGCAAAAAAAATACTGTAATTTAAGAAAAAATTACTTAGTCATTCAACTACTCTTAATTCATTCTGATCTTCAGAATATTTAGAAGTGATTTTCTACTCACACAGAAAAAGAATTACTTCAGGAAACTTATGACTTGGGTAGACTAAACCAGCATTCTGAAGAGTCTGACTCCTATTTTAATTAAATGTTATTTTCAAACAGAACAAATTGACTAGTCTTTACACTGCTGTCTGTCATACACTTGTGACCTTCTAAATTCTAAAATCTCACAAATCAAAGCATCCTCCTAGAAAACTGGAAGAGATACTCTAACGAGGACAATTTAAATGATTTAGCAGCAGCAGCATGGGTGTAAGAACAAGGAACAGTTGATGTAAGTGCACTGAACTGTTTGTGCTTAGACTAAAAGATTCTGGTTTTCAGTTGCAGATAAAGGCTTCAATGGTAAGTACAATTTTTTATAAAAATACCTCAGGAACTGTAGCTTCCGCTAGGAGAGGTGGAGGTATACATCCATTTTCCTGGGTAATCCCTATTGGTTGATAAACGACTTCAGATGGTTGCAGATACAAGAATGGAGGTGAAGACGGAGGAGACTGAAATAAACACATTATTTTAATAAATTATGATTTATGCACTATAACTACCAAAGCTTATTTTACAGTCGTCTTTGCTATGTATAAACACAGATAAAGTTTTTAAAGTGACAAATTTGTCTTTGATAACCTAAAGAAACTAAGTGAGGGGGAAGCAGGTAGAAAGGTCAGGTAGCAGGATAAAACAAAGATGCCCTTTAATCACTTCTATGTATTATTCAGATTTTATTTACATTTTGGAAAGCATGTTAGAGAAATCATAAAGTTTATAAAAATTATAAAAACTTTAACTCTAAAGATCACAGAAACATAATACAGTTTAATTTTCTCTTGCAGAAACATTTCATTAAAAACCGAGTATTTTTGTTTTAAAATAAACCCCACAGTACTTCTGTAATTCAGCAGCCAGATTTCACGTCAGCAGACTGCCATCTGTTAATAGAGTGGAACTGACTACAACTGGCCAATGTTGTCTGCTATTAAAGTAATAAAGACAGACTGGAACAGTTCAAACTTAAGGGACTTGGTCCTGCTTTCAGCTTCAAACTTCTCCAAGTTCCTTGAGTGTCAGTATTTTATATTAAGCTCCTCTGCTACAGAGATCACATAACTGATTAAGCCTTCCCCCAAAATTACCAAGTTAGCTATTTCAAGTTCTTCCTCCTATTGCAAGGATCTGGATCTAATTTAATCGTAACTGTGTACCTACATGCTTCTGCCAGCAATACTTCAACGAAACATCACAAGTAGTTAATTAACTAGTTAATACTAATTTCTCCTATCCGGCAAAATACAGCAGTTTCTACCTACTTCTGAGAACTTATTAGATAATTTAATACAAACTTTTTGTCAGAGAGAGAGGAGGGGAAGTTGCTTTAAGTCAGATTTATATTTGATGCTTCAATAAATGATATTTTATGCCTTCTACTGTATCAGTCAGTGTTGCAAATGCATTATTAAAATATAGCAATTAATATTTCTTTCAAGTGTGTTGTGAATAGTGGGAAACTTCACTGTTAGATAACCACACTGCAGCATTAAACTAGATGTAAACCTACAGTAAAATGCTACAACTATGAACTGTATTTACCTGTGGAACAGACCACTGCCACTGACTTGGAAGACACTGTGTTGGTGCCTAAAGACAAACAACAAAAATATTAATTATGTGGTTAAGAACATATGCATACACATACTAGAATTCCCAACATACTAGAATCAAAACTCTCTCAAATCTATAACAGATCTTAATTAAAAAGAAGAAATATCATTTTCATTAAGCCTCAAATAATTCAGGAACAGTTTTGTCTGCTTTCACTCAGCCTCTGACTTGGGCATTTCATAATTTTCTACAATACTGAAGCATCTAAGTACACTTAATCAGGAAAACAGAAGGTACAAAATGCAGTTAACTTTCTAATAGACATTAAGAAGATGAACATACTATGTAAGTTCAGATGTGGGCTACCAAGATGGTGGATAGACTGGAGAATAGATGATATATCAAAGATGCTGAGAGAATTGGGCTTGTCCAGCCTTAAGAAGGAAAATGGTGGGAAGGGATAACTATTGCTGGCTACAACTACCTAATGGGGAGGGGGCATAAATAGGAGTGAGCCAGATTCTCAGAGGTGTTCAGAGCACAGGAGTCAAGGGACACAGGCTGGAATACTGAAAATTTGAACGTTATAAAGAAAAGTCTTTTACTGTAAGAAGGTTCAAGTATTGCAAGAGGCTGTCCACAAACGTCGTAGCATCTCCATCACTATCTAAAATTCAACTGAACAAGTTCCCAAAAAATCTGATCTAACTACCCCTGCTCTGAGCAGGAGTTTGGCTTAGATGATAAAAATTAAGGATGGTACTAAGCTGGTTGTCTCGCAACACCAAAGAAAATTTTAATTTATTACATTTCCATGTAGTTACATAGGCAAAATAAATTGTATTCCAGTGAAAAGAAAGCCTCTGATGCAATTAAAATCTGTTTCATATGACGCTTTTTAACAGTCTTTTTATTTCCTAAGAATAAACAGACCCAAGATAGTGCTGTAAATAAAACTGCAGGCTGGAAGGAACACTGATGGTCTGAAACCCGTTTTCAAACAGATACCTGATAATGGTATGTAGGAGACTGATAAACTGGTTGAGCCACCATCACAGTTGAACTGGAAACAGAACGAGTCTTAAAAAGAAAAAAAGTTACAAGTCTTAATGCAGCAATTTCATAAACTGTCAAAAACAGTTCTGGAGCACTATAATGCTGAACTACCCCCCCTCCCTTTTGACAATGGAATTACCAAGTTTTAATTCGCACTTAGGTTTTTCAAAACCACTGTTTTCCAAGGGTCTACATTAGAGAGGAAACAAAAGTCTCTGGATTATTTACGTAGTTCTTTCCAGAAAGCACTAGGCCATCACTATTGAGAGACGTTAAGGCTATCCTACTACCCTGACTACAGGCACATTTTTGTAAACACTTAGGGCAAGCTAAACTGTCACTGATGTACTCCTACCCTCTCTACAGCCCCAACCCAGTCTTCCCTTTTCCATTCCCTACCTCACACCAGCCACAGCATTCATCCCATTTGACAGTGAGCCGGTTTAGGTAGCTAAACCACATACAAATCTGCCTGGGTTTTCTGGGGGTCCAGTTTAGGATCAGAGAAACACTAGTGAAAGAAAGGGGGGGCAGAAATATATGGCTACAGTAGAGGACAACATAGCACTGTGAACCTCTAGTTCTGATTTTTCAAAGTTAGTGTGTACAACTCCTGTGTCATGCAATTCTCTCATTTCTGCAAATATTTAGGAAGGAACAGCTTTAATTCATTCTACACTACATGAAAATGCAGAATGTAAAATGGAAAAAAACTCCAATCTGCACTGTAATACACTCACAATACACCCCCAAAAGTATTAATATCGTTGATATGATTAATTTTTTCTGTAACATCAAATTTGCAGGTTTTTTTTCCTTAACGTCTTTATATAGCTACCTAATAACGAAAACTAACAATATGTAAACAACTGAACCCAAAAGAGGCAATGCTATTTGTAACTGGAAAGACTAAGTGCTATCTGTTTGAAACACAGTGGATATAAGCCAGGGCACCAGAACCAAAGTTCAGTACTAGGACACAAAAAAATACTCTTTTTTCCAACAAGTAAGATTTGAGGCACTAAATCATGCCTCTACTAGAGGACCAGACATCTTAGAAGTGAAGTGATTAAAACAGAGATTAAATATCGAGAAAAAGATTCTAGAGTGCCAAAATAAACAACATAATCTATTATTGCCCTCATCTGTTTTGGGAAAGTTTGTTTATATTTATTATCAATTCTATTGAGTTTTTCTCCCAATACATAAAGGGATTTTCCACTCAGAGAGATGGTTATGTAAAGCCTCTGTGAATGCTGCTTTCACAGAAATTGGTGAGGATGCACCCCCTATGTAGGTCCCTGTGCCTCATGCAGACCCTATCAGTCTTTCAATCCTTCCCTCTTATTAAAAAATAAAAAAAATGGACTGACGACTCCTTCCTATACTTCCCAAGAAATTATGTCCAAGTTGCCCAAGCCTACCGAAGCCAAAAAATTAATCTATTGAATTATCTTCCTCCTAAAACAAGCCGTATTCTTGAAAAAGAATATGTGAATAAGATTACCCAATTTCAATTTTGCTTTATTGATCTAGTATTATGTCTCTTTTAATTCTCAGCATAACAGTTTGCAGCCAAGAACACCTCACTCATGGAGGAATAATAAATGGAGTCAATCAAGGGTCATAAGCACCAGCAACTACTTGGTAAACCAAAGCTTCTCCTGGGGTATGGCCCACACTGATTCTGAACTACCCTGTCCAAGAGGTCACATCAAAGCAAAAGTCCCCTGCAGAAGAACAATAAACTTAAGTAACCCAGAAAATAAACAGACTAGTATAAGGAAGCCATTTAAACATCAAACATGAGGCACTGCCGAAGAAACTGGAAGCAGGAGGGACTTGAAAACACTGCACTCATCCTGATCCACAAAAAAGCATATCTACAAAAATAAATCACTTACTGGCCATGGCTGCAGAACAGAAGCAACTTCAGACGTATGAAAATAAGCCACTCCGTTATGGTAAATATAAGGATATCCGCTTGAAGTAAAGTACATTGTACTAGCTTCTGGTATTACAGCTGAATCTGGAATTAATATTTAAAAGTTTACTTAGTAGTAGATTTTATTCTTTTAGATGCGTAGGTCATAAAAAAAAAGATCACTTCTGATCTTCAGAAAAGCAATACACTCAAAGGAGAGAATATGAGGCAGTGTGCCTAGTGCCATTCAATTCCCTCTCAAACACAAAACCGTGAAAGCAGATGGTCATAGGATGTCTCCAGAGGTAGATGGGAAAGGGTGCAGAAGATGACATGCATATAAATTATTAAACACAGATAACTCCAGTTAATAGCAAATATATTTTTAATCTTCAAATGTCCACAGGTGACTTCACATTGTAGGAGATCAATTGGTAACCTCCATGTATTTGTATTTAGCTGAAACGGGATCCAACCACTAAAACCAAAAGAATGACTTCATTACAGGGTGCAGCCTGGTTTCTCAAGACACAAAGACTGTGTTTCTCTGATGACACAAAGCCTGGCAAAAGTAAAAACTGCTATCTAGATGTCAGCAAAAGGAACATTTCTCAGCTATGCTACTGCTATGGCGGAGGCTGTAAGTCAACACAGTCTGATCCCAAAGCAGAGGCCCATCTAAACAGCCATCCAACAGGTAGTACTGACAGCAAACATTATTCAAATAAAGAGATATCTATCCCATATGCAGAGGTTGTTTATCTTTTTCAAACTGCCTTTGAGATCACCTAGACTATTTTTGTCTGCATTTTCTTTGGAGGGGGGATGGGACAGAACTTCCTATTTTTCTAGAACTTCATGTCAAACATGAAGACAAGTTTCAGTTCCAAATATAAAGAGACTTCCTCAGAAAAAAAAAAAAAAGGAAATTTATTCTGTAACTGAAATAGAAATCTTGAAGTCACATTAAGTAGTAACTTAGCATTGAAAAAAACCTCAGGAAGAACACAATATAAAGAACACTGAAAAGTTTTAGTTTTTCATCTCCCTTGCAAAGGTGAGTGCCACGAGGAAGGCCATTTTATGGACAGACACAACACCAAAGAGGTTTCTAGAATGCTAAGTGGAGGATCAAGAAGGGTCCCACAATGACTCAAGAGTTTTTATCAATAGTAAGAGTTTGACTAATTGCTAGAGAATCCTGAAAGACATTTGGATACAATAAAGCTGAAATATTAGCCGTAGACAGGTCAGGCTAAGATAGTTGTTGGCACAGTGTTAAACAAACATTAAAAAAAAAGTTAAAGACTACTTTAGCTCCACTAAGCAATGTAGGATAGCACTTACTGATATCTCAAGTGAGGACACCAAAAGAATTCCAGAGCCAACAATCCTGTCTACTTTGCTAACCACCAAGGACCTTGCACAGAACTTTCTGCTGTTGAATAAGTCTCTTGCAAAGGAAAAGGAAACATTCTCCATCAAACCCAGCAAACTCACTGTGACAGGAAAATAAAACAACTTGGGGAAAGGTATAGCTATCTGAAATTCTTCCAAACTATAACAATTCATCATTCTTCTTCCAGCTGTTTGGTTTCTACTTTTCAGCTTTTAGAATACCCACTTTCACAACACTTGGAGCTGGGGAAAAGCAGTCTGGTTGTTCCCCCCAGTATGTTCAAAGTTCTTAGCACAAAAGGTTCTATGATGACAGAGGACCTAGAAATTGTTTTGCTTAATAGTAGGGAAGACAGATCCTACATTACAGGTGGGCTGGAGGGGACAGCAATAAATGGTCTGTCTTTTCAATTCAGCTAAATAGAACCACAGCCCTCCAGTGATACTGAGAGTCTAGGTTTTATGGCTTCATGAACCTCAAGGTGAGCTGCAGCAGGACAAAGTATCCCAGTGACTAAGATTAGATAGGCTGAGCACAAGGGCAGACACCCTAAAATCAGATCCTAGGATATGTCCCTAGATGCCAATATGATCTTGTATCACAGATCTATCCTATGCCTGAAGAAGAAGTGGCAAAGTCAAACAGGGACACCAGCCTTCTTCCAAAAAATGCTTGAGGGATTTTTTTTTCCCTTCTGTTCTGCCAGGTCCAGAATTAAATCACAGAGTCAGAAATATGCCCCTCTTCTACCAATATATTCAGCACAAGAGTCAGAGGAAGGAAGCACAGCAAGTCAGGGACTTTCACAGCTGTGAAAGTCCAAGTCAAAGATCGAAAGGGAAATAAAGCACAGGAAAAAAAAGGCATATAACCCCTTGATGATGACTGAGCAAAGATTATGCTGAATAATTTCTAGAGCACAGAAACTATACAGCTGGAACGAAGTAGTCCATTTCCCTGGGCAAATATTATCCTACATACTTACAAGGGAGGAGGGAATACCTATGCATGAGGGGAGGAAGAGAGAGAAACTTCCTGTCTGCAGAAAGTACGTCTACACCAACAGTGTAAGTGTACATATGGACTACTTCTAATTGATAACGTGATGGTAACAACTAAAGAAAGCTTTAGAATGAAACTAAAATTCTTCTGAATTGTCCTCAGACTGAAGATGAGAAAAAGCTTTGGTTTAACTTCCAAAAGGTACCATAGGGCACATACTGAAGGAAAGCTACAAAAGTACACTTCCTTCCCTGCTGCACTTTTAACAGGAATGTGTTTTACATCTGACACATAGCCCTTACTGAGGAATAAAAAACCAGCATGCTCTGCAATGCAAAAAACTGATGGATCTTGTTTTAGTAGTTGGTGATTTATATCCTACATTTCCAGTAGTGTATTATAGAAACAAAATAGCCCCTGGCAGATAGAGGGGCCATCTCTCCTGTCCCCCTCAAAAGAACATCTTAACAGCATACTTTCTCAAGACGTGATAAAACGTATCAATACTTCTTTTATGTAAGTGTTCAATCTAAATGGTTCTTTACCACACAAGGAAAATACAACATCCATTCCATTATCTTACAGCAAAGAATTCTTAAGAACTGAATGGTGACTGCAACCACCCATTCCTTATGGTTTCTACTGAAGAAAGCAAGATGCAAGAGTCCTGATAGATTTTGCCTGTATAAATAAAGAAAATCAGTAACAACCCTACCAACCAGCACAGCCTGCTTTATCCTGTAGAATCTGTGAGGACAGTTTAAGTGTTTAGATCTGAGATTCTGCCTGGCAGCTGAAAGAAAATTCCATTCAGTTCGTTCCTAGATAGATGATCTTTTCTAAGAAAGAAAGTAACAGATTAAAAGAGAGAAAAGAACCAAAAGATCAATCTGTTTATTTGGACGTTTCCACTGGCATGCACTTGCTTCCGCTGTGAACCATTCTGAGCACATTCTATGCACAGCACTAACACAGTGCAAGACCAGGCACATCTTGATTAAAAACTTACATTCATAATGACTCTTACATAATATACAAATGCAAGTAAAAATACATACAGGAGCTCCTTGTTTGTTGTTTTCTTATTGCTGGACCAATATTCAATTTCTTATCCTTATAATTAAGTTTTTTAGCCTAGAATTAAAGAAAGATAATGTTATTCTCTACACATATCTAGGCATCCAAGAAACAAAAGTCAGAAGTAAGGCACTTAGTAGCTTTCACCCTCCCTCAAGTTTTATTTACAGTGCATCTCAAAAAAAATCCAAACCCAAAAGCTGTACTAATCTCTTTTCTATCCTAACCATAGACTTCACATACACAAAATTAATAATTAGTAATTTCAAGTATTATTTACTCCTCATGGAGCCTCTTGACCAACAACTGATAACTATAATTGCCAGATTTTTATAGTTTTACCTCTTATGTATTTACTGCTTTAATAAAAGCACATGCGTGCACAAACTGACAAGTTCAAGTATAAAGATAATTTTTTTTTTCTACGATAATGACATTATTTTACAAAAAATGAAAGTGGTCAGATTATAAGAACTGAATCTAAAAAAAAAAAATAATAAAATCACATATTCACTCAGGGTTGCCTTAAAACTTCCTTACATCCAGGCTAACAAAATGTAAAAGCACAATAAAACAGATATCCTAGTAAGGCTAAACTACTGCAGAAGAATTTAAGAAATAAGTGCTAGGTACACACAAGTAAAGCTACATTCTCTTCCTATTGTTTTGTTTACAACAGCAAGTAAGCATCAAGTACAGAGTAACCTAAAACCTTGCCTCTGTTGTTAAATTGACACTGAACTCACTACTTCATATATGAAAAGGAATAGGGTAAATCAAGCAGCTTTTTTTTTTTTTTAGTTATCAGCATCTCTTTAATACTGCTTTGCAAAACCTAGAAGGATTCTGAAGGCCTGCTTCCCTGAACAGCTATGCAAGGGAGAATGTGCACTAAACACTACCACATGACACCAGAAAGTTTTCAGAGCTCTAACTTCTCCAGTAAGGTGATAATTAATTCTTAGAGAGGAACACAGAAAGAGGAACATAGAAAGAAATAGTTCTAAGTCAAATTCAAACAGTTAGGTAATGAATACATTTTATTCATTTGAGTCAAATTTAGCAAAATACTTGAACACCTGTACCGAAATGTCCAACTATCAGATTTAAATTTAGGAGGAGGCTAAACTATTTTGCTGAATCTAGGACTTCATAAACAAGTCTTAATTATGACAAACATACCTAGCTAGCCTGTTAAACACAGAGCAACTCCTAGAAAACAGATGCGCATTTTATTCAAACTGCATTCCGACACAGATAACTGAACTGGTTCTTCCCAATGAGATGTATTTCATCGATGTGATCCATCAGAATTTAGACTTTTTCATACACAGCTTTCACAGTTAAGAGAAATACCTAATCTGTACAGATTCAAAGCATTCAATACAGCACTGCATGAAAATTAACACATTGATATAGAAAGTGAAGCCTAATAGGAAAAACTATGATGAATAAAAAATTACTTCAGAAAGATGGGAAAAGATAGCATTAGTAATAATAGTGTATGACCGGAAACAGGATCCTGGTGAAACTCCTCAAGGTCTGTTCCTGATACTAAGGCAATTTAATACTATCAAAGACTGCAACATAGAAAAAGAAATTTCTGAAAACATTACTCATGATAGAAAAGTAGGATGCAAAGAAAATCAGTGCAAATCAAAATATCACATAAACTGAACATATAAAAATGCAAGAGCACAAAATGAAAAAAATTAATTTCATACATAAATTATTAATGCCTAGAAACTCTCAGCTTAAGACATCCGAGAAATACCTAGATGCAAATTGATCTTAAGATTAATATGAGATAGCAGTATCATGCAAAGATGGAAAAGGTGATAGAATTGTAGAACATCTAAATGAAAGCACTTATAGTAGAGAAAAAAGTATTAGTATCATTGAATGAAACACCAGTAAGACTTCACATGAAGCAGCCTTTCAGTTACAACAGAGGCAAAAATCCTAAACTATTTTCATCATGATACTCAGTATCATTGGTATTCTTCTAGTTCACAGAAAAAAAACAATAAAAAACCCATGAAAAGTAGCTTACTTAAGGAGTTCCTGTCTGTATACTCTTTTAACTCTGTGTAACTATTTTTTGAAAACACTCTGAGAATTTCTTTGAATATGTCCCAGCTCTTATTTTGAATTTTAATACATGAAATTCCAACAAAGGTTTCGTGTTTCAACATTTTAACCAGCTTCATACTTGGGAGCAGGCAATTTGCAAGCCTTGGAGACTATTTTCTGTTTTTTTTTTCTTCTGCACCCAGACACCTTTAATGTGTATGAATAGATCCTGACCAACAGACCTCCAATACATTCCAACCAGAACATGGAGCACGCAATCAAAATAAAAAAACAAAAAACACAAAAAAAGACCAACCAAAACAAACTGAAGAGCTAACATAAAGCTGAAGAGCTAACCATGTCTCAAGGGAGGTTTTACAAGGAGCATCAAGACAATAATGTAGCTGAGAAGCAAAACCTACATGACATAAAATGAGCTTCACTGTTTAAAGACTTCAAGTGAATCTAATTATTCCTGAAAAGAATTACATCAGCTCTGACAATCCAACATGTCAGGATAAAACAGAAGTTATCTTTCCCAATTCCCCTCTAAATCTTGACAGCAATGGATTTTCTAGTAAAGCAAATGAAAGCAGTTGTGCAGTATAACATCTGTAAAGTTATGTACTACAGGCCACATGTAGACTAAGGAAGTAAAGACTGTACGTCAAAGTCAAGGACTGTACTATGCACTGGCAAGTCCCCTCCCAAGTTCCAGAAGTTCTCAGTATAAGTCTTATCTTAGAGCTCTCTAGAACATGTTCTTAACTACACAGACCAAAGACTTACAGATCTTCAAATGCAAGCTGGCAAACCGAAGACAACTAGACAATCAGGGCTACTTAGTGTCTAATAAGAGTATTTAATTTAAGAGATGATCGTGATGGGAACTACCACTTACCACTTGTAAAATCTTTTGTGCATCTTCTTGGGTTTCAAAAGTAATGAAGCCATACCTGAATAAAAATTGAAGCAGCTAAGCCTCTGAAATTCATATTTATATACATTGTACATTACTACTTGATATATACTACAAGTGACATTAAAAGGTAAACTAATGGGAAAAAATTTAATTGTTGAAATAAAGATTGCTGTGGCAACTGTAATCTTAATTTAACATCTTCGTTACAGTCTATTTACCAATATATTTAAGTATGTGGTGGTCTATTACCATTTCTATGCAAAAATCTCTGTATTGTCCTTGTTATTCAGTGTACATCTTTAGTTCCTTCACTTTTATTAAAGACATTTTGATCCAAAGGTCTTACTTGTTATGGGTGCCCAAGATGAGGCACTTAGGATGTTATTTTTTATTATACTGTTCTTCATAGCACAGCTCTCACCTACTTCAGCAACAACTGTGAAAGCTCTACACTCCCACAACCACTATTCACTACATTAAATTCAATTCTCAAAAAAGCAGCAATGAACAGATAGTGTTTATCTAGAAATTATTCTTGTAATTTTTGACATGACCAGCACTGAACAGGAGTTCTGTGGTGATCAGGGATGAGGTATTCTCATGCTTCACAACACAGTATGTCTTTCACCATACTTCTAACTGCTCCAACAAATCAAAGAGGCTTTCTACACAGAATTCCTGCTGTACCAAAACTCCTCGATTCATTTCCAAAGAAACCCTGGCTACCAAATGTGGCACTGTTTGTGCAAAAGTATCTGATGTTATAATTGAAGTATGTACCACAACATGTAAGCACAGAAAAAAAATTGGTTCTTTTTAAAAATCTTTCAGTAATTTTGTATGCATAATTTGTTGCGTTCATGGCTTATTTCTCTGGGTCATGTTCCAGAAGATACCAAGAAGGTCTCTGCCACTCCAGTCAGCAGATAAAATTTTGCAATACGATGTATCATTCTTTGTAAGCATTTCCATGCTTATTTAAGTCTCTGATCAGCTATACATTTAAATCTGTGGGCTTTTCCTGTACTGTCTTCTCCAAATAAATCTGGAAACACTTCCAAGTTCAAAGAACAGAGGAACTGTTTGCCTAGGTTGGGACCTTACCTACACAGTCTTGCATTCTATGTGCTATCTGGACAATAAACTAATAGACATAATCAATGACACAACCTTTAAGTTTCTTAAATCACTTGTTAACAAGCAATGAAGGCCACGCTTGGATTTAAATGGAAATCCCAACACCATTTAAAGTAATTATTTTCCAGCATATTTACTGAGAGACATATGTTGGTAATCACAACTGCATAATAACTGGGTATTCTTGAGTTATTGTACTGTACGGACACATGTACTGCAAATTGCAGGTATTTCTTGGAATTTAGTAAAAGAGCAAGAGGCTTGGTGACAGATCTGGGACCAGGATCTAGTCCAACGTGCTGGTAAGACCTGCAGTTTAGGGTGTAATTTGCTGATATATGTTAAGTGCTGAAACCAATAAAACTCAGATTCAGACACCACAGGCTTACTGTTCAAAAGAGAACTTCTGACAAAAGTGAATTTTACAGGTACATGCCTTTTTCCTTCAGCCCCATCCCTACCCTTCTGTGGCAGTACAGTTCCCCACGTTGTTTCCTTTACCATCCTTTGGGTTCTAGCAATAAGTTTACTACCCAGTCTTAATCTTTCTCCAGATTTGCCCTTTGGCATTTCTCTTATTGTTGACTTCCAGTCTTAGCCCCCTTTTCTGCAATCATGATTCATTGTCAGCTGTCTCCTATGTTCTTGTTCCAAAAAAATCTTCACACAAAACCTGTTACTGCCATGCACTTCAGCACAATCAGGTGTATCTCACTTCTTCCATTCTTAGGCTCCATTCCACGCTGGCTTTCAGTAGTAGAAGTATATACATTTAATAACTAAATTACCTTTTTAGTATTATCAACTTATTATTGTCACAAAAAAACCCCTGAAAGGACTACTGATTTTGTCCTAGTTGTGCACAGCTTCATCTTGTAACAACACAGAGTTCTACAATTATGCAAATTATAAAGACATTCATATGTAGATGTTAAAAGGGCAAGAAGAGATTTTTGCATACATAGAGTAACTGGGAAAGTCAATAACAGAAAGTTAGTAATATTTCAAGCTATGAAAAGCATAATCAAATTTACTCTAGTCAGCTTTCTGTTATATTTTTAATTTCTATGACATGCAATAATTATTCTACTATACCAACCCCTTTGATATTCCAGCTCTGTCATTTACTATCTTCACTTCTTTCACACTGCCATACTGAGCAAAAAACTTCCTCAGATCATTTTCATTAGTCTAGTACAACAGTTCAAGAGAGGGGAAAAAAAAACCCAAAAATAAAAGTTGGTTTGCATAGTTTTTCCATTAACATTTACCATAAGACTTTTAATGGCTATACTTTGGATAAAGTTTGCTACAAACTATAACACTGGATAGGAAAAGAATGAGCATGTATGAACTTCACAGCTCCTGTTTGATTACTGCATTTTCATACTCAGCAATAATGCTAGAAAGCCACTAAAATATTAAAACTCCTCTTTTAGTGGATTTATGTGACAACTGTTCTTTTACAGGTAAAGACCACTGAAGCAGTTTTACTAGATCTGAATTCTTTTTTCTGTGAATTACATACTAGAGTGCTGTTTACAATAGGAAACATTACTGTAATGTTTTCAAACGTCAAAAGATCAGACTATGTAGGTTTCCATAAAGGATATGCATAGGTCACATATGAAAAAAATCCCCACTAAACCACTGACTTTAATAATCAAATTCATCTAATATACTGCAACCCCTCTATATAAAGTATATTTAACGTAAGGCTCTGAAAATATGTACAAGCACACCTCAGGCACACCTAAGCTATGGGAACACTCGTCTACCTTCTATGAACCACTTTTCTTTTATAATGTAAGCACATCTCAAATATTGTGCCCTAAACACTGCATTTCAGATTTTGAAGTTTTGTTCTACAGAGGCCTTAGTTAATACTATACCCAATGCTTGAAGAAATATGCTTATATGCATGGATCTCTATATACTTTGAGCAATTTCCATACTCCTCTATATTTTTTGTTATTTTAAGGAAATATATTAGAAGTACTATTCCACCTTTAAGTGAATTGCTTTTACTGCTTTTAACTGTATGTATATCTATTAAATCCTATCCTGCACATCAAAGGCTTATCTGCCTCATTCAAGGTTGAGAAGCAAGATCTTAAAAGAAACAAAACCCAATATAAACAACTTTCATAGCTGGAAAGAATATGAAGTTAATGCTCTTTTTGAGTAATTCTACCCTCAAGAAACATTTTACAAAAAGAAATGATGCAGCATGCTTGCTACAACCTGTAAGCAGAGAGCAACAATGGTTGAAGACTGCTTTGTCTCCCTCACTAATCCAAGTATTCAGGCATGAAAACATTAGAAAATACTCAGTTGCTCTGAAAATGTGAGGAGTAACAACACCTGTAAGTGCACTGAACAGACACAAAACACTGCAATATTTTATTAAAGCTCAGTAACTGTGTCTTGTCCTTGAAAGCTGTCTGCACTGCTTCTTGAGAAACTACCCACCGTGAACACATTAAAAAAAGAATTCTGGAATCCAGAACCACTCTCTTGAATAGATGAACATGCTTTGCACCTAAACAGAAGTGTGAAAGCCTGTGTATAATGGAAAACAGATTCAGCCAAGCAACTGATAGCTTCTATAAAACAATTCTATAGCATATGCCAAAGTGTATGCACATTCTCAAGCAATGCAAAGCACACACAAAGTACAAAAGACTCACAGTGGAGATTTTTCTTTCCCTTTTCTCCAATGAACACCAAAACGTATCTGTTTAAAAATGAAAGGCCTTTAGATAAAACTTCCCATTTCTAAGAGACAGGTTTTTTAAGCTCCGCATGTTTCATGTAGCTCAGCTGCTTCACAAAGCTGAGAAAAAGAACCTATGACAAAAGAGTTGAAAGCTGAAATACACAAAGAAACAACCAAAGAGTCCTTAAGATTGTTGAGTGCTGCAAGTGTTATTCAATACCTCAAGGACATGAGGGATGGCTGCACAAGACTATAAACTTGGAAAGCCAAAGGTTTCTCTTCAAAGTGGTGTATTAAAGGGGGAGTAAGAAAGAAACACTCTTCTAAGATTCAGTGCAATGTGCAAGTATCTGGACAAACATCATATCTAGAAGCTTGCCAGAAACACATTCAGGACTCACCTCTTCCTGCTCATAAAAGGACAAAGGCACTTGCCAGATTCTTAAGAAAGGCTGTTAAGTCTTCACTTAGTTCAAAGATACACCACTGAAGAAAGAGCTCCTTAGACCAAGATGAAAATGCACCCAAGTGTAACTTCTCTTAATGAATTGTTTCTCTCAAATTTAAGAGGCCAGATGTTTCCTCTTACAAATAGAAATCACTGCTACGGTGATAGACCAAATGTAAGTGCCTGACAAAATGATAAAAGAGCTTGCTGGAAAGCAAATAATTTTTTGATGATTAAGTGTCTCAATTAACAGCTTTTTACACCTACACCTTCCCAGCTGACTTAAATGAGACCATAGGGGTTAAAAAACCAACAAAACCCAATCCTTTTTGCCATAGGATTCCAAATAGAAAGCAATATAAGACTGACACATATATTGTACGATTTGAACAGAAATTTAAGACTCTACTTGATATCAAGAGTCATAGTAAATGGAAGAGTAGCTAAAATGTCTACAAAGGTTTCCTCCCTTCTGTTTCCTCTCCCAACAAAATCCATCATCTTTATATTTACAGGCACACATAGACTCTTTCTCCTCTGCTGTTAAGATTCACAATAGATTTTGACTATATCAGTGACTGAACCAAGATGTCAAAAGACACTTCAAAATGAACAATATGACAATTAAGAATACATGTTATGCAGAAAAGTGTTTTAACCTTTGAAATTGCAGTGAAGAAAGAACAGAGTGAAACAGGCTTTTTTACAGCTCTGGCAATTTGCTTACTATTAATGCAAAAAGCTACTGTGCCTCTTTGCTAAGGCCCAAATATACTGAAGACCTTGTGTAACATCTCTTGAATTATGAATGCCTCTGAATTATCTCAGCCAAATGAGCCAGAAGATCCTGGATTTTCTTGTATTTATTATGCAAAATAGACTGAGCGAATTGTCATTCTTCCTCCTCTTCATCTGAGTCAGTGCTCAAAAGGTCCTCAGCCCAGGAGGATTAAGACAGAGAAGACACTCTTGGTGGGAACAAAGAAACAGCTAAGCAGATCAAGAATGTTTTGCGAAAGTCAATGACTTAACTCATTATCTAAAGTGGTAAGAAAGAAAAAATGAGAGTAGCTGGTATAAAGGTCTGGTGCACATCTTGTCACAAATACTGAAAGCAACTGAACAGTGTAAGATTGGCTCAATATTCACTGTTATTTGATGGGTTTAGGGCATATGAAAAGACACAAACGTTCTAACATCAGTAGTGCAAATTGCCCACTGAAGCTTTAGTATTTGTTTTAAAACAAACACTTTTAAGAAAATTAGTCAGACTGTCATGGTTTTAACTCAGCTGGCAGGCCAACACCACAGCTGCTCACTCACCTGCCCCCTGTCAAGGTAGGGAGACTCACAGGTTGAAATAAAAACAATAACAGCAGTATCAGAAATCCCATACTGAACCTAAAACACAGCACTATTCTAGCTATTAAGAAGAAAAATTAACCCTATCCCAGCTGAAACCAGGACAGTATGGTTAGTGAACACATGCACTATAGCTCCTTCTTTGTATGAACTGGAAAAAAGTGCTAGAGGAACTGAAGCTACAGACATTTGCTCTGTTTGCAATCTATAACATTATGTTTACAGTTTATTAAATTACACTAACTGTTGCTACATACTTTTCTACCATAAGGTCTGCTGATGACAAAAGCCATCATCTTTGAAAAGAGGAAATTCCAACGAACCAGTATGTCAAAAGCTTCTAGCAGCTAGGTGTACAAGGAGTCAACTTTGTAGCAGTTATGTAAATCAAGGCTTAAAGCTATTCTCTACTGTTGATTTGAACATTATAATGAAGGGTGCTTACCACCTAAGCAAATATACACATGATCATATCTCACATTTTTTCCTATTGATTTTTATAGGGTTATAAATCATAGTTTAGTAATAAAAATGGGGAAAGAATACCTTTAAATCAATTCCTCCTACAAAGACACGATTTGGAGTAACTGTTCCAAGCCTTGGAGCACTGGTCAGATCATTTAATACCACCGGTGACACAGTGTTGGGATATGAAGATAAAGATTCTGTTTGCGTCTGATTTGTGGTCTGCTGATAGAAAGAAAGTATTTTCAATATCTTAAATGTTATAAGCTATAAAATGAAAAAAATTCTCAACAAAATACATACAGAACTTTTTGGGAGGCACAGGAAATGCTGGAAAACTGAACATTAACCACACTTTTAATCAGAATGCAGCTCAGCAGACTGTTTAAACATAAGCTTAGATTTAACCAATTTAGTAATTTCCTGAATACACTATGGTCTCAAGTTTGACAAACACCTTTCTGAATTACCTAATGCCCCAATCTTAAGTTTTTATGTTTGCACTGCACCTGCTGTATGGATCCAAGTTATGAATTCTACTTCAGATATCAATTAAGTATAACTCATTAGAAGCCTCTTATTAAGTCTATATAGAAAGGACCTTTTCAACTCAACTTGTGCTCTCACACACATCTATAGAACTCTGCTCCTTGCAACAGTTTCTGCTTGATCTTCCAAGTGCCAAGCACCCATAATTCCACCACATAAAAATTAACAAGCTCATTGTAACTTATGAGAACAGAACTTGGAAGACTAGGCTTCTGACACGCTCTTGGCCTACAATACAGTGCACAGTAATCTGAACAGAAATTCTCTCTCCAGAAGAGGAACCAGATTGCTCTTGCCCTTGTAAAGGAAAGGAACACACTTTAGTGGGAGCTTCATGTATTTAGCGAAGTCTGCCTGATGTTTGAACTTCCACCCTTCTTACACCTGTGAATTATTAAACTACACAGACTTCCATTTCATTCAGAAATTCATTCATGTTCCTTTTCAGAACAAACTGATACCACCATACATAGTCCACCCTAACTGTGAGATGATCACTGTAAAGCAGCCACATATATTATCAATAACTTCTCTAAAAGGAACTGCAGTAGGCTTCAAGACCATTTTTGCTGTGGTTTTGTTTCCCCCCACAACTGAAGTTTACTAAAACCACTCCTGGGATACAGTACCCTGACAGTACCACTAAGGAAGGACTCCAAAGTGAAAGATGAGCAGTTGCTGCAGGCTGCAGATAAGACTAACAGTAAGCAGAATATTGAAAACTAGAAGTAGGAATCTAGGGTTCTCATCCCCCAATCTTTCTTTTTAAAGGATTTCAAGAAAACCATTTTTTTTCTTACTACTGTGCAACCCTTAACATTAGTACTGTGGACTGACAAAACACATGCAGGCATATTTTAAAAACAGCAAGTACTGCATCTATTACAAAGTTCTTTCACTTCCTGTGTTGCCCGTATCGTGGCCTTTCAAAAACTAGAGCAGAAAGTGAAATGCTCTTAAATGGTTCTCCTCACAGAATGTCCCTTTTATTTACACTGTTTTGCTTCCGGATGTTGCGTCTCTCACTCAACAGAACAGCATTTTATCTCTGCCTTTAAGGATTTCCAGATAAAAACAAATCACTTTGTCAGAACACACAAAAAAACGAAGGCTAACAGTTAAAGTGTGGTGAGATACTGAAGATCAATAATGAAGAAGAATGTTTGGGAAAAAGTGATCTTTTAGTTTGCTCTACAAGTACTTCCAGGATTATTTGCTATTTCCTTAGCTGAGAATTAGTCCTATTAATTCAGAGCAATGAGTTAATGCTATTGTTCTGGATACTATAAAGACGATAAATCCATCTCAGTCCATGCATTTTTAGCTTTAGGGAAGACAGAAATCCTTTCCAAATTTATGAAAGCACATATATTTGGGGCAGAGGAAAAACGCAAGTCTTTAACCTAATCTATTCAGGAGAAAGTATGCATTCCTCTTACTGGGAATACTAATACTAACCTAGAGTAGTGTCTAACCTGAAAAAAAACCCCAACCCACTACTTGCAAGCAAGGAACATTCATAATTGCTACAGTGCCACAGGAAGAATGTTTTCATTTAAGAACAACTTCCAAAGAACTAGGTTACTTTCTTCATCTCTCACACCAAATATAATATTCTACATGTATAATCATCTGGCAATTGTGTACGGCACTAAAATATTAAAATTTAACTATAAAGTATTAATTAATGGTTGACATCTCAGCCAAAATGTATTCCTTACCTCATAGATCTCAAATTTAATTTTCTCCATAGAAGTTTTAAGAGTTGCAATTCTTATTAAAAAAAAACAAAACACCCAAACCCCAAATGGAAGCAACGAAGAATTAAACATATCACTTGTGAGCTCCCACCACAGTAAATCCCAATGAATTTTAAGGTGTTAAAATCTGTATTCTGATAGCTATCTCAGACACCGTTTCTTCAGTGCCAGTGTAGCTGCAAGAACACAGAATTAAAAAAAAAAGTGTGCTAACAGCATGTCACTTGCCTAATCATTTGTTTCTATAAGCTTGTAAACTCACTTTTTATCATTTTTTTTCTTCCAAACAGTACAGACATGCATATTGATTGGTATTTTTATGGATTACTTAGTGTTTGACAACTGCTCTTTACCAAAATTGATAACGTTTCTTTTATGTTGAACAAATCCACAGTCAGGCAACCAAACGCTACAAAGGCCTGGTGACTAATCCCACCCTACTCCCTAAACAACTCCTTTTTACAGTCCGTATCCTAGAACGCCAGAAACGGGGCACACAGGCAGTGCTGCACCCTCAAGGCGAAGGGCGCGATTCACCACACCTCGAGGCCACCCCAGAGGAAATGGCGGCCGCCCCCGGGCGGGGACAGTGCCAGGGCC